CATTGGAGTACAAAAAGACAATGAAAATATGAAAAAAGAATATTTTCAAATTATTTTTAATCAATGTAGTTTTTAAAATAACGATTTTGCCGTACTTTGTTTCCAAGTCACTAATAGGATCAGCGGATTATTAGCAGACATAGGGCACACGTCTAACCCAATTACCCAACTGTATGACACATTCATTGATAGTGTGTCCGATTTGTATGGCTCTCTCGGGCCAGAAATATTTGATGCCAAAGTAGGCCATCACCGCCAACAACGTGATCGTCCCCATAGAAATAACCGCAGCGCCACCGGCTAGAGCCGCCACACCTACTACGCCAACCACACCACCGACGACCATCTCAGTCACAGTCACCCGTGTCGACCACCCGGCGCCGTACTTAAATAGAGTGCAGTAAAACCCAGAGTTCTGGAGCTATATTCGCACACAAAACCATATTTTTGAATAGTTATCAAAATAAAGTTTAAATGGGATATCATATGACATACCCAGGGCTCGTACTCCACCTCATGGTCCTTAAACGCTTCGAGCACGGGGAACACCAGTTCTAGTGGTAAGGCTATCAGTCCTTTAGCCGCGGCCATGGCATCCTGATTGTTCACCCGACACAAGTACAACCCCTCGCCATTGTCGTCTACCAGTATGTCAAGCAGTGGTACTTTTCTGAGGAACATTTTGGCGGCCGACGACCCGTCCTCCGGTGCCAAGTGATAGCACCAGACATTACCACCGCTTTTGTACTCACAGATCACCCAATGTTTGTAACCCCAAGACATCTGGATTTCGATAATATCTCCGCGTTTGACCACTACGTAGATCTTGGAGTGAGTGCCAAATGAGCTATTGTTAACAGTGGTAGAGTAGCCCGACCCCATTGTACACACCCTGAGCCTATGTATCGGTTAACCATATTATTTCATAATCATTTGCATTAGTTATATAACTTTGGATGACTTTTAGTAGAGTTGCGAACGAAATCTTTGAACACAAAAAAGTTTGATAACTATTACGGTTAGACACAAATACGTAAAACTGATGGCAACTAATATTGCAGTGATTTGTTGAACACAAAAGTTTTTAATGAAATTGTATTGAAATGTGGTTTGGATTTAGGGTTCAAATTAATGGAGACTTGAATGCAATGATTTGCAGTGAATTTCACAACTCATGTGATTTACATTTGGTTACAAAATACAGTCTATAATCGGTATTGTTTTTTAAACATCAGTATAATTTAATTTTTATGTTGTAGATAATATACAAATCAAAAGTGTTTAAGCACGTAATTTAGTTTATCATCATATTTTAGATTTATGTCAATTAGCGAGCTTTTTATAATCTTATTATTAATTATGTCTATAATATAATTGTATACATTATCTAATATAGACTGTAGAGTGTATTGCAAATATCTGAATTACAGATCTATCGGATATTAAACTGTAGGCAAACACTAAATTCACACAAAATGTGATAATTTTGTTATTTTTATAAAATAACTTTAAAAACATTGCATTCAATGGGATTTCAAATTGTTATCAAAGTCAAAATTATTTAATTTATTAGGTGCTGATATAAAATTCACTGTTATATTAATACACTTACAATGGAGTGTCACACGCTGTACAACTCTTATTAAATTAAAACCTACATGATTATATAGATTAGACATGTTAAGTTAAGAATATCAGGGTCCGATAATCTATGTGAAGGCGGTATGGTCATAAACCAGTGTTCAAGTTTCAGATATTCG